GCTCTACTCCTGGGTATAGGGAACGGAGGGGACAAGCCAACCAAAAATATGGGCCCTCAACCAATCCCATTAACAGCCCAGGGGAATGATATACGTGAATCCCCATCCACCCAAGGGACAGCTATATGCAGGGACAGATAGAAAGTCAGTAGAGGAGTAGGCACATCTGCTCATGCGGAATGGGAGCGCCCTTGTTGAACCTAGAGATGAGATTATCCGTAAGATTGGACAGAACATGATTTGTCAAAATATACAGAGAGGTACCCTGGGGTTAATCATGCCCCAAGAGATAACCCTGTGTATGGAGATACCTATGGACATCCTTATGGCAGCCATCAATGTTCCCACTCCCACAGGTCTCAGATGTATGAAGACTATATTGAACACGATCCAAGGGAACATTATTCCACAGAAGGCTCTAACCGATGTCGGGTGGATGCTACAGATCCTGTGGCCCGCATACCAACCAGTGCGGGGAACTCCAGCCATTCTGATATCATTCTGGATATTTTAAAGACGATCCTGCACATGCCCCCAGAGATAGGCAAAGGATGTGTAAACCTCTACGTAATGAGTAGAAAGGATTCAGAGAGCTCCTCATCATCGTTTATCTGGCCTGGCTGACAGATACTGGATAAAGCTGTAGCGCGGAATGGGACTAGCTGTTTGTCAATGGTGAGGTCCGGGCACGGCACATAATAGCACCCCAGAGAAGACTCGAACTCCTCCCAAATGTCTCAATGAGCAAACTTTGCGTCCTTTGCGCGACGAGCACTTCTCGACGCCTTGTCATCAAATCTGAGTATGGACATTGATTATGTAATAGTTATTATGAGTCACAATGTTTGAAGTTTTCAGTGTGGGTTGTGGCTCACATCTCGCATCAATGGCAATAGTATTTGTAGTGGCACGCCTTTTTGATAGCCCTCCAGATTTGCCTCCCGTGGCTTGTTTATTTTGTTTTGTCATGTCGCGTGTTCCACATGATTCCATACATTCTGAGAGAATAATGATACAACCTAGCTTTGCTAGAATTCTCGACAACTGTGTAAGAGCTATATGTAGCCGTGTTTATGCAGTTCGGCTCTGGGCTGCTGCTCAAGACGACACAAGGCAATGGTGATGAAATGAATTTTATTATGTGAAGAATGAAGCTGTTGCTGAGGTCAAACCTGAGAAGGGAAAGAATCTTTCCAGCTCAGCAACAGCAAGTGGAGTCATAAAAATTAAACTCAAGTAAATAATTTTTATAAATGTTAACAATTAATATTAAATAGTTTTAAATATCACAGTAAACACATTCTCAATTCAACTACCAGTTATTGCACTCTTGAACAAAAAACCGAAAGCACATGGCTTCAGCCATGTTTACAATTTACATCAATTATAAAGCAATATATTTAACTAAATCTATATAATTATCAATTGAATATTACTTCCAATGTTATAATATTATTATTGTAATAACAGTTTACACCTTTTTATAGGAATTTATAAAGTAAAGAGGCAGATGGAAACAGATTAGAAAAATGGCCATACCTGAGAAGGGAAAGAATGTTTCCAGCTCAGCAACAGCAAGTGGAGTGAGGAGGAAAACAGGTGGCCAAAGGATGTAAGGTCAGAGGACACAATAGCCAATTAGAAAGTAGGTAGCACATCAAAGGAAGTCTTTGATGTGACCTATTAATAGAAAAGGGAAAATCCCAAAGAATGGGTTACCTGGCTAAGAATAGAGAAGAAGTGAAGGGAAATCCTTGTTGACAAGGGTACATGAAACAGAAGGAAAAGGTGAAGATGTACAGAGGCTGCATTCAACGGCAAGACTCGGACAACATGGAACAAATGAACATTTAACATTTGATGATATTTATGAAACATGATGAAATGAATTGTGATGTGATTCAGCACTAAAATAAAAGCACTGCTACATATATAAAGGCTGGTTGTTGAGTTGCCTGACACACAGACTTTCACATGACTGGATTTACATACATCTGTCTGCCATCATTAAGCTGATCAACGTGTGCTTGTCTATTGAACTGCTGACATTGTAAACAACCTTCAGTCAGTATATCTGCTCTCACTGTAATTGTCAAGACTCTGGTCAGTTAATATTTAATATTTGTGACCCAATAGTTAAGATTTGTGACTCAATTGCATCGTACTAGAATACTGTATTGTCATTCATTGTAGTTTGCTCATTGTTTATTCAATATATTATTGAATATTTTAGACGTGTCTGTGTTCTATTTTGCTGGCACAACGGGGACTCTTAAACCTTTTGTCACGGCAAATTATTAAGGTATCTAAGAGATCTAAGAACCACCTTTCAGACATTGCAGCCCTGACAAAGGGAATTCAATATCCCTTACTCCACAACACATGTGAATCCACATCGACTGTTTCAGGTGACCAATAGTCATCAGAACTCCTGTCAGGGCCCAAATCTCATCTTCATTCGTTTCTTTCTAGACACTTTCTTCTGTGCCCCTTTCTCTCATAGCTCTCTTCTCCTCTGTGTTCGTAAAAGAAACTATCTTTTTAATCATGTCGTCAGTCACAAACAGTTTGAACATAGCATCCTTAGAGAAGATCCGCATTTGACCACCCGATGCAGTGGACCTCGTAGATGTTTTGGATAGGTGTTTTGCCTGGTGGCAATTGAGTTGTTGACCATCTACTGCCATCTTTTCCAACTATAAACCTTTGTCCAGGTTCATGACTATGAGCAGTGTTTTCCTGCTCTGTATCACTGGATAATGTGCCATCACTGGAAGTGGACGGCACAAAACTGCTGTCTGATCCACTGTCTTCTGTGAAAAGTGGTTCTGCTTCATAATCGGCCTCATAGTTGCTTAAACTGGCCAATATCTCATTCAAACCTTCGTGGTCCTTCCTTCGTTATCTCATATTGATGCAACAAAAACCCACAGTCAGCTAGGTACCTGGCTAGCTATTCTCGAAACGTTCGTAGCCCTACGAACTTCTTAAGCCCATTCTCAACACATTGGCTACGAGCAAAGTTAAGAATTCTTAGGGCGACGAACGTTTCGAGAATAAGGGCCCTGGACTGTTTGGATGTAGCCCACAAGACCTTTAGCAATATCCCCGGGCCTGTCAGGCCCATGTATACACTTAACGTGGGTAAAAACTAACAATGACCAAAAAACATTAATTAGTAATTAAGTGTTGACGAAAACCTGTTTGGGACAAGTATTCACAGAACTTTAGGAATACATAAAATTTTAGCTAAAAGTTCTCATTCGTTTCTGAGATATAGGACCGGAAACACGCTCCCGGACCTCTCAGGCCCCAGGATACAAGGTAAGGGTTAATCACCTTTACACAGAAGGAGGGTTACTCTCGGTAACATTTACGCATATTTCTAATAGACCACACATGACATTTGTTGTAAATGACAGTGACACGTAAGTGCAAATGAGTGTGTGTGAGTGATGAGGTCTTTTGGTTTGATGTCGTTCTTTTCCACACCATCAAATAATATATATCTCAAGGCGGGGGTTCAAACCCATACACAGATGGGATGTGGCCACGTTGCCTTGTCAAAGCAAACAGTACATTCCATGAAATTTCACAAAATTTACTTACAAGTTCATGATGATATTAAACTATGGTATAAAAAAGTATATTATGAAGTCTCACTGCAAATTGTATTGATTCAGTCTACAAAACATACATTTTGAAATATAGTTTTGTTCTTAAAATCTAGATTTGAATTTGCCACTGTATCAGTCAGGTGGCCAGAAGAGGTGCGTTTCATAGCAACCATTTTGCACGTGGGCAAAGGTTCCATACAGGATTTCATATTTCACAAGCAGAGAATACGTTGTAGTGTGTCTGTCGGAAAGTGTATGGAAGCTCTGGCCTTATTTCAAGTAACATAATCTACCCAGTACGTCACGATATGTCATAAGGTAATGTAGCCATGTACCTTTCTACCTTGAAGTTCTTCAACATCTGGTTTAGAAACCACATGAGACATCATCCAAACCGAAAGTACTCAGTACCTTGGGAAGAACTAAGAGAGAGCTATGAGAACTGTTTCAAAATTCTGAAGAGCAGGAACTTCCGAAACCGGTGACTTGAGCAATGAAAGAAATGACAATACCATTTTTATAAAGCGAGACGGAACTATCTCAGATCTACAAATTCAATGAGTATTTTCTGTAACCCCAAGTTCACTTCTTTTCGATATAACAGCAAAACAAGTGAGTAGCAAAGATTTTATTATAAACTTAGCTGGAACCTATGGGAATGTGTGGCTTAAAATTCATGGACTCGGATAATCGATAATCGCTCTTTTCGCCATTTCGAATTATTAATACTACATATATTCAACTATGACCATAAGTGCAGAAATAGGTGCATTTTGACGGTGGATGAAGGTGGTGAAGAACGTGTCCCAGGAGGGATATGGTGCTGGGAAACTTCCAATCGAGGTTTGAGCAGCGCCTATAATTAATGATAGATGCGCATTGCTTTCAAGGCCATGCCCAGCTGCGTCTTTCATGAGATAATCTTTTTGGTCATGTTGACATATACAGTCTTTATAATACATAATCTTTGACAATACTCCAGCATAAAGACATGTAGTTTTAAAACAAGGAAAACCATCACAAACGAAAACAAAGACATTATTGGTTACAACCCGTTATAATAATTCGAAGTCAAACCTTCGGCGCTGTGAGCCAACGTGTACACCAAAAGGTTACTTGAAGCAATAGTTCTGAGTCTTTGAGTGGAACATTGAGTATTTCAGTTGTGCAGTTGTCGTAGTTGAGGCAACAGTTTTTCAAAATAGTTCCATGAAAACTGTTACACCAATGCGTTGACTCCTCACGGATGTGAATATAACCTCTTCCTGTTACTTTGTCGGAATCCGTGTTCCATCGAACGTGATACATTCGTCCCAGTCTGGCCAGTACGTAGCCTTCATCCGGTCACAGTAGGCACAGATGCGAGGGTAGCGATCTGAGGGCAAGTGATGACAAACAGAGGTAATGAAGGGTCTGATGATGAAACTGCAGACTGTCAACTTAAAGCGGGAAATTTATGGATGTCCACTTCTGTATTAGGAGAAAAAGTATTTTGTGGGTAGAGTCTTACTCGTAGATTCGTTACCAGGTGGATGACCTAATCCAGAAGTCAACATCCATAAATGTTCTCCATTTATGTGTTTCACTAATACATGCCACTCAAAGAGATTTTTAGTTCAACTTAATCTCTCTTTTCTTTACTTTACGTCGACTCCTTAAACTACTAAATGAACAAAGAATTGTTAGCACTTGCGTCACTTGGCGGCGAGAAAGAGATACTGCTGTGATGAACCTAATATACTCAAAGGCAAAAGTTCGTGTGATCAACACATTTGTTTATAGGAATGAGATTTCTTTTTATATTTCGTTCTTTCAAGAAGTCCGTGGAAAATAGGCATAAAGCGTGCAATTTGAAACGTGTGGCACTAAACCTGGAATCATTGTCACCCAAATCATTGTTTAGACGTCGATGGGTTAGAAAAAAACACACTTTTGGAAGGATCTGCTTGCCACGGCTAACCGAAAATGACAGATGGCGTGTCTTTGGAATGCTTGAACACCACAGCGCAAAGTTGCACGGCAGTTTAACGTGCACAGGATCACCATATGCCGCTTGTGTAGACGTTACCAACAAAATGCTGACGTTGCAGACAGTCCCCGAAAAGGCAGTCCATCTGTAACCACGCCACGTAACGACCATTGGATTCGACCGCACGGGATACGTGCTAGACGTCTTGCCAGACAGCAATTGTTCACATTACGTCACCAACGTCTACGACTGCAGCGGTGCAGACAACACCTGCGATGGAGAGCACGTGTGTAGAGTGTAGAGTCTCTTCACTGACGTTTGATTGGCTCTATGAGGCGCAGGTGTCAAACATGCATCAATGTTCAAAGTGGAGTGAGGGAGTTTGGTTTTACGCAGCTTTTAGCAATATTCCAGCAACATCACGACGGGGGACACCAGAAATGGGCTTCACACATTGTATCCATGTGGGGATTCGAACCCGGGACCTCGACGTGACGAGCGAACGTTTTAGCCACTAGTCTACCCCATGGTGGACATACACGTTCTCTCACTGTGACTTCATTAGCATGTGACCGCCATAAAAGTTAAAAATGTGTCATTTGCAATCTGATTGCGGAATGGTTTTCTTGCAATATTCAAGAAGTCTCATAATTGAAATATCAATTGTTAATTCACATATGAAGCCCTAACTACAAGTCAGTCACAATAATGAACTTTTGCCTCTGAGTATATATACGATCCCGCGAGGGAGCTCAAGATGGATTCAAGGACCTTTCTTGAGTCTACCCCTTCCCAGTATAAACACACTGACCCACCTTCAACAAGACGGACTCCTTCCTCTCCCAAACCAGGCATATTCCATCGTACCTGCGACAGCATACCGAAAACAGCACAGTCCACTTCCGTCGCTTTCTCGCCCATTAGGAAGGGCTTGTCGCCTGGTAAGAGATTGCACAAAACATTGCATTACAAGATTAGCAGTATGGTATAACAATCACACACCGTACATGCATGTATGGGTAGCATGCATTCGAGGTTCAATAACGATAGAACAATTTACATAATGAGAGATTCGTAAGAAACTGTTGCACATTGGAATTTCGAATTTTGTGTCCTCTCAAGTAGAAGGTCGGTGGTTATACCAGAAAATGTTGAAAATTGTTGTACCTGCTGTGAGTTTCGAAATTGTGGCATTGTATGTCAATGGGCAAATACTTTAAACCAGGCAAGTACCGGAGCGCAGACACAGATACTGACACATACACGCACGCACGCACACACACACTCACAATGATACACATCCGCGCGCTGCATTACATTAGTGAAATCATCTCAACCATAAACCACATATCAGCTCATCACTTCACTTCACGTAATCAATATATATCGTAGTGTTTATCGGTCGTACGAGGTGTCAAGTACTCTCTGTGAAACATACTCAACTCTTCGTTGTAAATATCTAAGGAATGTACATTACATTTAACCTTAAGGTAATATTCTTAAGTTAAACATGTAATGCAAGAAAGCATGTTTCACTTAACACTTTCTAACACCAGTTAGTTTTCCTTGTTTCACCTTACATTCACATCAATATTTTCCAGAGGAGACAGCCTGAACCTTGAGAGATGTCACCTGTTTATAGCTTTGCCCTCGCGGCTCATATACTCACGTCTGAATCGGAGTTACAGTTATTAGCTATTTTCTGTGCATTATTAGTATACTGTCTATGCAAAATCCGTACGTTACAATATCAGTACAATATTACCCAGGTAATATCCGTACGTTATTTTCTATTCAATATCCGTGCGTTAATATATATGCAATATCCGTACGCTATTATGTGCAATGTCAGTACACTACTATATATGTCATATCCGCATGTTATTATCTGTGCAATATCCGTACGCATTTTTTTCTACGGAATATCAGCATGTTATCTATACAATATTAACATCTACCTGTGACATATCAGCACGTTACTATATACCAATAACCATTATTTAATATCTATGAAAAACTAATACCTTATTCTCTATCCCGTGTCTTATACGTAATTATCTGTACAGTATCGTATCCTTGGATACTAACTGAACTCAGTTGAAGTCCTTTGACATGTGTTCGCATACGACACGTTTCAGAAAATGTGGTCATTTTGACCAACTTGTGAACACCCTAACAACAAAACGAAGCGAGCTGTGACCTTTCACGTAAGCCGCTAAAAACAATGTCATTTGATGTTTCCAGCTAAGAAATTCTTTGACTCCGGTTCACTTGCATTGAATGGAATTGTTATGGAAGACAAGATCGATACACGAGACTCGGTAGCGATTAATTGCCCTCGAAAGTTGTTTCCTTCTTTAGCTGATCCTATCTTTGTCAACTTGAAACATTAACATATGATTTATTAATGTATGCATAGTAAAGCATAGTTAGGTCTTTACAATGCATATCTGTGTTTATGAACTGAAAAGAAATTAACTAGTATTTGACAGCATTTGTAGGCTATATGGCCTTCAGGTTTACCCATAAAATCCGATATTGCTTGCAGATCATCGTGCATTATTTCCAGCATCTCTTCCAATGAATGCCTTCCCATGCCTTGAGCCCAGGCATACTTCGTCATTTTTCTGCTGATAAACCACGTGACCAGCCTATAGGGCATTCCCATCGCCCGGGTCATCAAAGACAGATCGAAATAGTGATTCCACCGTAGGCTCACCCCTACCCTGCAACAATGAACAAGTACTGTCTGATGAAATGAATGTCGAAACAGATCAGTATTACCAATAAAAACATAATATTAACAAACTGTTGGATTGTTATATGTCGGTAAGTACCAATTAAAATCCGGGTAAGAATCGGTCTTCAGAATATCCTACTTGTCGTAAGAGAGGTATAGGGGATTGAGTGGTCAGGCTCAAAGAGTGAGTGAGGTTTTACGTCACGTTTAGTATTCCAGCAATATCACAGCGAGGGACACCAAAAATGGGCTTCACACACGGTACAAATGTGGGGAATCGAACCCGGGTCTTCAGCGTGACGAGCGGACGCTTTAACCATTAGGCTAACCCACCGCCCCCAGGCTCAAGGTAAGTATGGCGTAACGCCGTCCCAGGCTCAAAGTGAGTATGGCGTAACGCCGTCCCAGGCTCAAAGTGAGACTGGCGTGACGCCGTCCCAGGCTCAAAGTGTGTATGGCGTAACGCCGTCCCAGGCTCAAAGTGAGTATGGCGTAACGCCGTCCCAGGCTCAAAGTGAGAATGGCGTGACGCCGTCCCAGGCTCAAAGTGAGTATGGCGTAACGCCGTCCCAGGCTCAAAGTGAGTATGGCGTAACGCCGTCCCAGGCTCAAAGTGAGTATGGCGTAACGCCGTCCCAGGCTCAAACACTTGGCTGTGGTTAATCGAATGCTCGTGAAATCTCTCGATCACTTGATTGTCTGGTCAAGACTATTTTTACCGACCGCCGTCATAGAGCTGAAAAATGGTTGAGTACGGCGTTAACCAACAACACCTAGAGCCAGTATGTGGTATTATAGACATGCTCACCAGTATAAATGTTCCTCTATCATCTTCTGCATGGCTCTTGCAATCGCCCTTTGTTCAGGGGTCAGATCCTTGTTAAGGTCGATATCAAACTTCTTGTTGAGGTATTTGATTATCATGGAGGAGTCTCCAAGCACGGTGCCATTATACTCGATCCATGGAAATTTGCCTGTACCCGGACAAGGCGTCAGTCCATACTTCCCTGGAATTGACTTCATCAGTTAGGGAACAGAGTTTTGCAGTTACCATGGATACCGCTACATACGGTTGGCAGTACATTCTTGCGCCAGACCAACCAGTGGTTAACAGCATGAACACCAATTCACATCCTGAGTTTATGTACGTCTGTTCACGCAACTACAGTGGATGTGACAGCATAATATCCAAAGTCAGACATCAGTGACTTTGTGACATTCGTGAAGCGTGATTGAGTGTATTGGGTTTGCCAGTGAGTGAGTCACATCGGTAGGATTTCAGCCATACTGTGACTAAAAGATGTTATACATTGATAATCAATGAAGTTAGATTGTGAAATATGTCTTCAAAGTTCGGTAAAACAACTAGAACATCACATATAAAACTAACATGTGACGTTAACTGTGTATCACGATGCATGGCCATACCATATAAACACGGGTTGTTGATCGCTAGCGACTAAAGGCAGGTCACCATACTAGGGACACTATCTGCATAGACCCTAGCTGGATTTATATCATTCCTTCAGGTGTTGGCGATTGTAAAGAGCTATTCTGAGGGGTATTCCAGAGAGATCACGACGCATCAACTTGCTTCGGCTGCGCCTGAGGAAATACAGAATTTACAAGAGCTTTACAGTCCCGTACACCCTTTCAAAACACCGTGTGACGAATTTGTTGCTCTTAAGATCTTTTTATGTTAGCTTGTCTTTGAAAACCAACATGCAGTCTTTTAGCAGACTCAAAACGTTTTGCCATGATTTTTCCTGAACGGTCATAAAGGGAGATAACTCGTGATGGCTTAGTTTATGATAAAACGATCAAATTTGAGGTTTTGTTAAACGACAAGTGAAAAATACGGAAACATTTAATTTTTTAAATATTTTTATTGACACAAACCACAACTAATAGTATTACCCCACCTCTCCAACATGACATGTTTTTAAACCATAGGTGTTATGGTCCTGTGGCTACACCATTCGTTGAATACCACGTGAAGATCCGGTAAGAATTGATCTTCAGCAACTCATACTTGTCGAAAGAGCGACTAAAGGGATTGGGTGATCAGACACGCTGACTTGCTTGATAAACCCTGTTCAAATGGTGTAGATCGATGCCCATGATGTCACTCACTGGATTGTCTGATGCAGTCACCATTAGTTACAGACCGCCACCATATAGCTGGAATATTACTGAGTGCGGCGTTAAACAACAAATATAACAAACATTATTTCTTGAATAACATTCAACAACATTCAGCTGATTCTAGTAATAAATTTGGAACATCACAACCAAACATTAATACGAACGGTGACCTAATGTGACATACGTAAAAATATAGATTAGTAAATGTTACACAACCTGATATGATATTTTTGTCATTCTGAAGTATGTCTCCAATTTCACAGCAAATGGTATCATACTGGGCGTCCACGGTCCCCTTCCTGGGTGGTGAAAGATGACAACATCACTGGGGGGACGCTTTTCCTGGCTTAACCTGGAAGTGGTCAGAAATGATGGAGGAATACCTCTCTGGAGTATAGAAGACACAGTACAGTTTTTAGCAAATTCGTGAGCTCTCCATGGTCATTGTCACCTGCAGTATAAAATGTCTCCGATAATTATAACTGAGGGAACTCATAATGTAGACAAATGTCCTTTCAAAATAACAGGGGGGCGGTGGGGTAGCCTAGTGGTTAAAGCGTTGGCTCGTCACGCCGAAGACCCGGGTTCGAATCCCCACATGGGTACAATGTGTGAAGCCCATTTCTGGTTTCCCCCGCCCTGATGTTGCTGGAATATTGCTAAAAGCGGCGTAAAACCAAACTCAGTCAGTCAGTCAAAATAACAGATCCGTTCGCTTTTCTTTGTGATACGGCCGTATACTACTACGCAACATGTGTTTCCGTGGAATACCGCTTTCCGCTGTGTCGCCAACAACGGTTTCTGCCATCTATGAAACGGAGCTAAAACTCTGTTTTTCTGTATACCTATTGTAATGCCATATTTCACACGTATCTTCGTCAAACCCACCCTTTACGGGGCGGGCTGCCTATTGTTAGGCCTCCTTTCACAAAGCACTAAAGTGATCGTAAATCACTAAGGTAACCTTAGTGCAATGTTAAAGGACGGGAGTTTAGGTTAAACCAAGTAAAGGTTGCTTGACTCATTACGAAAGCCGGTGAAAACTAAGTATGGACACATACAAACTATCGTGAAGCAGCCCGCGATACCCAAAGCATCTAATTGTGAATGTGAAACATATCGATCAGTTGAGGATAACTCGCGTCCTCCCCCAGCAGCTATCTGCGTGTAATTTCCCTATATTTGGTGTCCTTGTCGTAACGCAGCGCTATAGAGTTGTTGACCAGCTACATGCACAGTCTATGTTAAATATTATATGTGGTCAAGGGGGAAGTACAGACGTGTCCTTACCATTGACCCATTTTCTCTGTGCCTTCCGCCTCCGGGTTTCCGAATGTGCATAAACAATGGAAGGGAGGTAACTCTATATTGACACCACACAGTGACATGCGAGATGTTGGAAAATCGATCTCGCCTTTGTGCCCAAGTATGAAAAAGGTGTTTTATCTCACCCCTCTCGCTTGTCTACATGCAGTTCATTTATATACTATAAAGTAGTACATAGTTTTTCCTTTAGGAAATGTACTATTTTGAACAAAACAAAAATTAACATTAATCTTCTCAGAAATTCCCATCAATACGGATTATGAAAGAAAGCGATTGGTTTTATCTTTCTTTTTCACTCTGTGCCACGAGTATAGAAATATGCTCATGATATAGTCGGAATCATAAAGTCGTTTCGTGATGGTGAATGTCGAGCATGCCCACTTATAGCCGAGGACCGCGTCGTGGCTCTCGGCTAACCCACTTATGGCTATAAGATGTGCGCTCATTACACAACACACTAACATGTCTGTTTACATTGGTAGAGGATATTTATCAACGAACATAAATTATTCACCAACGACCACACAATACTGCGCTTATGTGTCTACGACAACGTGGCAGGACCAGAGAGTCGACATTACGATGAATACAAGGTATAGGATTGAACTTTCGACATCTGCGGTGCCTGCCCCCAAATTCTGGATGAAGCCGCCCCATCTTTCCATTGTGCACAGGTACATATATCAGTGCGTATGCTGTCAGTCTGTCCCGGTGATCTGAACCACCTACAGTGATACTGCAGCCTCCTTTCAGTTTTAGGCTTCACTGATCCAGCAGCTTCACGCCCCTTACCAACCAGTTACACTTCATGTTTATCCATGTTCATTGACGGGCTAATAGGCATGACATCACCTGCCCGACTTTTCCATCACCTGATATCCGGGTAATACAGCTTTGAGTTGAAACCTTGTTTAGAACCAGGTGATGTGTTCGGCGCTTATAGACCAATTTTGTAATCCTTGTTTTCAACCAGGTGATGTGTTCGGCGCTTATAGATCCATTATGTGATCCTTGTTTTCAACCAGGTGATGTGTTCGGCGCTTATAGACCCATTATGTAATCCCTGTTCAAAACCAGGTGATGTGTTCGGCGCTTATAGACCCATTATGTAATCCCTGTTCACAACCAGGTGATGTGTTCGGCGCTTATAGACCCATTATGTAATCCCTGTTCACAACCAGGTGATGTGTTCGGCGCTTATAGATCCATTATGTGATCCTTGTGTTCAACCAGGTGATGTGTTTGGCGCTTATAGATCCATTATGTAATCCCTGTTCACAACCAGGTGATGTGTTCGGCGCATATAGACCCATTATGTGATCCTTGTGTTCAACCAGGTGATGTGTTCGGCGCTTATAGACCCATTATGTAATCCCTGTTCAAAACCAGGTGATGTGTTCGGCGCTTATAGACCCATTATGTAATCCCTGTTCACAACCAGGTGATGTGTTCGGCGCTTATAGATCCATTATGTGATCCTTGTTTTCAACCAGGTGATGTGTTCGGCGCTTATAGAGCAATTATGTAATCCTTGTGTTCAACCAGGTGATGTGTATGGAGCTGATGGACCCATGATGTGATCCTTGTGTTCAACCAGGTGATGTGTATGGAGCTGATGGACCCATGATGTGATCCTTGTTTTTAACCAGGTGATGTGCCCGGTGCTTATAGACCCATTATGTAATCCCTTTTCACAACCAGGTGATGTGTCCGGCGCTTATAGATCCATTATGTAATCCCTTTTCACAACCAGGTGATGTGTCCGGCGCTTATAGATCCATTTATATTGTGTGACCCTATCGGTCACCAGCTAACCAACAGTAACTATGGTTATCAGTACCTGAGATCGACACCTGCCAACGCTCAGGTAAGCTATGCAACGCTTCACGAGTTTGAAGCAAATGCACGTGTTCTATAAATTAAAGTACGTTGTTTGTGAATCAACATAGAATATGCACATGGTTAACATTTTTACAATCGATAATATACATCTACAATTCTCACCTCATGTTTTAAGACACGCTATTCACGGCTTGTGTGTATATATATACCTGGTACCACAACTGCAGTAACACCAACCACTACCACTAACAGTCTACAGCTGTACAATTGTCATACACGTCATAAAAGTCCACGTTGCCTTGAAAGAAACTATAAGTAACTATATATCTTTGTTCATTTTATTCACAAAATGGTAGGAACATACAATAATATATGAAAACACTAACAAGAGACATAACAATATTCAAACAATGAACAAATAAAAGTACAGAGTAACGACAGTGTTGATGGAATAATCACGAGATTCCTGCAGGGATAACGAACGTACTTCATACAAGCTTAAGGCCGAACAGTTACAATGTTTCTCGTATTGACAGGCTCAAGTGACAATGTCTGTGAACAAATGTGTCTGCAACTTTGAAGGGCTAATTAGAAAGTCCTGCGGGTCGTCATATACGTTTCGAATGAAGTTAAAGATATATGCAGTAAAATCTGGAGACACGTTTGACCGTTATGAGGAGATTCCAATGTGCTCCATATCTAAGTATCTGAGAGGGTGTATTTTGACTGTATGTGTGTTCACTTCGAACTGATGCTAGAGGGAAGGATATCATTACTATGGTATTCACTGAAGACAATCGTAACATTTGGTTGAGTTATCTCTTTTATGCAAGATGTTGTACTGGCGCCAGACCATTAATGGGGTGATAGTGCAGTTGGTACTGTCTTTGAACTCAACACCTCCTCGTGGACACTATCATGTACATAGATGCACTTCCTGCTGACTACTCAGAATACTGACACCAATGTCTTCACTGGTGAAAGTCTATTTCGTTTCAATACTGAGATTCGAAATCACAGCTTCAGGGAAGTACAATGTGATTCAACTGAAATCTTAGTTTTCGTTGCCGGGAAACACGGATCTGACGCCATCCAAATACAGGTCACGTTAGAACGACCTTTCGCAAACTTTGACCGACCAATGAAATGACCAACATGAAGTCGACATTATCCCACAGAAAGAAGCTGTATCGGGCGTGTTATACAGCGCAATCTTCTAACTGGCGATTTCCATTTGAGACAACGTTTGGAGAAATTTAGAAATTAACACAACATTCTGTAATGTCGCCTAGATGAAATTCCGTACTTTCTATCGACGCTCCGTTTGTAGGCCGTTTTAATGTGACCATTTAGATCTATTTTAATGGAATTTCCAACCATTTATAAGATTTTATAATGTACTTAAAAGAACAAATCAGATAACTGTGCACTGTAATACTGAAGGGACTGACGAACAATACGTTAGCCTTATAAAAGTTAACTTGGATTTATGGCCCTGGTCAATTAGTCGAGCAGTGACATCTTTCCTATTTTAATGTTGGTGAACAGAATGCCTAAAATGGTACAAACACTAGCTTTTACTGAAAGGCAGAATATTGAGGCCAGTTGAAGGATATCAATCTATCATATATAACATCCCCAAAAATAAAAACATTTTCAGAATTTTAAAAATATATTCGTTATAACATATGTTATTACACATCAGTATAGAGTAATTTTGTCTTCGTATGTTTTGGTTTACAAGTAACTAAGTTCCGGACTTAAGTATAAGTGAATATGACGGAAACAATACTTGTTTCGGCCTTTGCTCATCATGATGCCATTCCGTCCCTCGACAAACAGTACGAATATGTACATTAACGACATCTGTGCACAACCAACAAGATCGACCACACGGAGTATTGTGGAGGGATCCTTAGTACGCGCGTAGTCGCCCCAAACGATTTCTACCATGAGGTAGGTCTCGAAGTCAGTCACACTGAATAACTTTCGTGGAACAACATTAGGCTGCTAGCGTCGAGTATGACTGTTAATAAGTTAAAGGTTATTATGCACATATATGTACATCACCAGCAACTGAGAGCTGCACCACGCAGCTCGGAGTCGAAGCATAACTCACAACATGTACACCAACACAATCACGCGAATACAAATGTCACAAAATCATGAGTGTCTGACTTAATGTACGAGTAAAGACTGCATTCCCGAAACAATCACTCGGAAACATTAATCTTTGGCTTCTTCAAATGGATACATCATGCATACGGCATCTACATTTAACCGAGTCATTCTCACACAGTTTATGTACTGAATTATTTTCATATCGTAACAAGTTGGTTAGGAACAGGCCGATCACCTGGAAAACCGTCAACCATCATTACGTATCATTGTTTAAGCTCTACTCTGATAAATACTTTTTGTTTCGAGTTAAGTTCAGTGTAATCAGTCTAACATAAATGTATTTATCTATTATTTACCTATTACTGTTTGTTCAGTGACTCTGGCAAACAAGCCTGACTTCGCATACGTCGAAATGGCCCGTAATCAGAGTCCTTTCTAACTTGATAGTGAAACTTGAAAACGACGGTACAATAACTTATTTCGCTGTGCCTATGTAAATATTCAAATATCCTGTATGCCCGTTTGACGATACAATTCGAGGCATAGTGTTTAGGATGCGATATGACTGGTTGGGTGATCCTCCGACTAACACTAACTTCAGACTTCTCATGAATCCAAACAACATGCGGAGAACTACATTCTCCTTCAGGCGGAAACTCTCATGTTCATAGCATATGCCCAATACAAGTGTTACATAAGATAATGCCTCTGATCCTCGGCACTCTCGTTTTACAAAGATCTCCTTACTCTGGACGGACAAGTGTTCTAACTTACATTGGTCTGATGGTTCCATATCCCCATGTATATGTCAATGATTGAGCAGTCTACATGACCGAACTAAAGTAAGACTGTCCATGTCAACACAATACCACGACTTTCACAGCAACAGTTTGTGAAACAAGCTGCTTAACTAATCTCCATGACAAAACTACAAACAACCTCTTAACCTATCAGTTGGGAATGTAAAAGGACAATCAAGATTAGAATTCGGCCAGTTCATGACTTTGTGGACTATTTTGAAGATAAAACCAAACTTTGGTACCATGCTACAAATATACTGTATCCATGATGGGAACTCATATAATGATCTTTGTGACATTCTGGTGGCTTCTAGACTATCACGTGCAAAACAAACCAATTGTTTGGTTAAACATATGTTTTCAACTGACATGATCAAATGGTGATCTTCCCCAAGAGCCAACAGAAGGCAGTGATGTTGTTAGAACTAAATAGCCTGTAGAAGTCAGTGAGCTAAAGACCCGTTTCCCTTTTTTTTCTTTCGCCCTTTCTTCTTTTTGACAACATTTTCTTTGGCTTTAGGATCTTTACATGCACACTCCGAGGTACAGGTTTTGGCAAACGGCATGACTGGGCCGCCAACAGTGGAGGGACAACAGTCACCGCCATCCCAGTCGCAGTGCTCCCGATTGTCCCGGCCGTCACACCATCCGTCGGACATGGACGCCTAGTTAAAAGAACAACAGTAACTGTTTAATGTCACAGAAATAATTTATGGTTTCCGTTAAGCTATGGTCTGTAAAATAGCCTGCTTGCCATACTGTAAGTTCAACTGGCCTAAGCTTATAAGAAACAATTGTCAACGATAACAATTTCAACCACCTTCAGTTTATGGAGTTATATGGCATAAATATATACAGTACAGGCAAACCAAAAAAGGCGTACCTTTTAGAGAACACTTTGTATAGACCAGTATTCTAAGAACACGTTTATAAATGAAGGATTTGGCCAAGCCAAACCTCTGAAATCAAGAAAACTTTCGTCACGGTCAGTGGCATTGTCTGTAAACATGGCAACTATATGTAACACCCACTTATTGTCATTATTGCCACCTTAGCTCTACCTGTGCTGACTTTAATGGTTCAACTGGGCAACATGATCACCGTAATAATGCCTATTTTCCCAAATGTAAACATTTTAATCCTCACAAAAAAGGTAATAATCAATATATCCTAATAATAATCCGAAGAAAATGAAGAATTTAAAACTGTTAAAGCGTCCGTTAAGAAAACGCGCATTAACGACGCGACGGATGATAAGGACAATGATTAGTTTTCAAATCATAAGGTCAGAACTGTTTGCTTAAGAGCTTAATCACACAAATAGAAAGATGTTTTGTCACCAAATATTTTCTTTTCAGAATAGGGCCCTGCTATGAAAAGGTTTCAATCAATATTAGAAAATAGCCGACGTCATCTTTAAGGTTTTCATAAATCATTGACATCAACAGTTTCTCTACTAACCTTACACATGTGAAACAACTGCTGTCAAATCAGACTCCACAGGGAGTACGTATGTGAAAAGTTAAGTTTACTGTAGAAAGAAAATGTACCATTGACTTAACTTTAAACGACTTTCTGACCTAGTTATCGCATTGCGTACGCTTACTTCAAAATCGGAGAAAACATTATGCATTCTTTATTCGAAAATCGAAAGTGCCACATGTCACGATAGCGGATGTCAATTATGGACATCATGCCGTCATATAACCTCCATTGAACTCGTGTAGATTACATATCTAGAGAGAGAGAGACAAACGGTAATTCTGTGATCCAGATATTTATATGCATAGATTACAGTTAATCCTAGTATGGGAGAACATTCTTAATATCAATGATAAGTTATGTATATACAAAAGATGTCAACATTTCCAGTGTAAAATGTGCAACATTAACGCAAGATCACAAACTACAGGACACTTACGACGCTGCACTTCTCTACGCATTTGACGTGCCTCGGGTTCGGGAACCAGTGAGAAGATCCCGTGCATGTAAAATTTGTGATGATCTGTCCAGTTGTTGGCACATTGAGGACATGTGTCTTCCTTCGAGCCGTCTTACCCATGTACACTGGTTCGTGGATAGAAAATCGGCATCGCACCCTGCAAGTGGCCCCTGGACGGACACACAAGATGCAAATTGTTGATACGTCTACCAGCTGTTTATACATATCATGGCTACCGTACCATCAGTAATTATCATATGTTGCGACTGAGGGGAGAAAGAAATATACACGGGTATTATCCGAACGTTTACATTTGATAGAAATAACACAAATATGTAATCCTACCAAAGTCATAGTTCCCATTAGGGCAGTCGATGACTTGATCTTGGAGGTGCGATGGCGGCTCGCATTTGGCAGCAAGATGTGAACGACAGGGCTTGAACTCTCCAGACCACATACCGTTAGACTTGCATATGATTTTCTGTTTGGGCTGGAAGGAATTAGACAGTGTAGTGGTTCTCGATCACATCGATGGGAAAAAGTGCATTTTGTATTTTGTCACAGTGAGCAATATTCCAGCTACATCGTGGTAGTTCAAAATAATCAATCCCGTGCTAGGTACACTTGATTTCGATTCTTCATTTGTGAGTTGGTTCCTCTGGATTCCCAACAGTTCCCATCTGGAAACTTCATGCGAATATTATGTATTAAAATATATGGATTACATATGCAAACACTTAGAAATTACCCGGACGTGTGTGCCTTTACCTGACTATCGTCTTTACATCTGAGAACACAGCGGCTCCGTGCTTTGTTACTGCACTTAAAGAGACCAGCGAGGGCTAGAGGTAAGGAAGGGCACTGAATCCTCACACATCGCGGTCCATTCCACTCTCCCTGGTCCCCACAGGTCAGCTGGTACGCTCGCCTGGAACCAGAATCCACAAAGCAGTTAATATAGGGGCACACTGAACCGAAGGACACCAGTGTATATACAGCCACACATGTTCACTAAAACCAAGGACACCAGTGTATATACAGCCACACATGGACACTGAAACATGCACGGTGGTATATCTAGAGGCATAGGCACACCTAAACCATACACACCAGTTTCTATTGAGTCGCACTGAATCCATAAAAAGTAGTTACTATACAGAAGTATAATTATTGGAACCCAAAGAAAAGTTTGCATTACAACATATAAAGGCACATAGCTACGATAGGTAGTTTATAAAGAGATAACAGCGGAGAAATTAACAGGCGATCTGCTTTAGTGTGCTCTGGGGACTAAGAGAAGTAAACAATCAAAAGACATTGTGCTGCAGATACTAGATTTGTCATATCTCGTTCTATGTTCGATGACCTACAATACATTGAGCGGACGCTGAACAACCTTATAACAAGATGTTGTATATATTTATTCATTTGAAAACACATAGTTTTCAACAGTTCACATTACACAGGTTCGACAACGGAAACATTAATTATGATACATGTAAGTGTTGCCTCAGAAACGAGGTTCAACCTTGCTGCAAAATATTATAAAGATGCACATGAAAACTGTGTCTGGAATGGCTGGCCATGTTAGTTGAGAAAACACTTTACGCCCTCACCTTTTGAATTTCTGTTTCTCCACGTGATATCCTTTCTTGCATTTAAATTTACAAGTTGTAGAAAGCGGTTTACGACCTCGCTTACACTGCTTGGTGATAAGTTTGGCGTGTGGGACCTGCAGAGGAGGGTAACACCGGATGTGGCACGAGGATGTGGGAGCCGACCACAACCCGTCAGCCTCACATCGTATGGTGTTGCCGAAACCTACAACAAAATCAATTGTTACATCTCATAACTAGAATGAAATGAGCCGTTTATTTTTCAGCTGTCGAAGCCGCCTGCTACCAATTTGTAGATCAATACGTTGTGGGGAACCTCTTTGTCTTACATATTAACCTTCCGTTCCATACAAATTACCAGTGAGTGAGTTTAGTTTTACGCCGCACTCAGCAATATTCCAGCTATATGGCGGCGGTCTGTAGATAATCGAGTTTGGACCAGACAATCCAGTGATCAACAGCATGAGCATCGCTCTACGCAATAGGGATACGACATGTTTCAACCAAGTCAGCGAGCCTGATCACCCGATCCCGTTAGTCGCCCCTAACGACAAGCACGGGTTACTGAAGATCGGTTCTAACCCGGATCTTCAAGAGTATATAAATTACCATACCATAAGTAAAACGTATGTGGGTCAAGTCTTGTACCTACCTTGCTGCCGAGCCGGTGGGTTGCACTTGAATGTACAATTGTTTCCGTGAGTTGTACCTGACGGACAGGCGGTGGATGCAAATGGAACAGCCGGTACCCCACAGTCTACAGGTACACAGGCCATGTGTGCCGCCGTCAACCACCTCCCGCTGGCGCACAGCGCGCGGTCACTGTCACCCTCCAGACGGTACCTTAAGTCAGATAATGTTCATAAACACCATATAAACATGATTCGATCATATAATCATACAATCTTCTTTCAATCAGTACTGTTTGTCAACCACACAATTAAATATCGATTGTTATTAAGATATTGCCCATACATTATGTATGAGCTGTCAAGTTCCTAGAATCGTCAGATGACATTTTTACAGCAGAGGTGTGCTTTCCCTGTTACAGGTGTTCATAACCTTTGTCATATTTGGGATTGCATTTTCTCAGTAAAGTGCAGTTTCTAGGTCTGTGGGGGTTGAGTCCCATTCGGGATTAGGAACCACGCCGTCAGAGTGAGGCACCTAATCGCCAGCACCCATAGTCAGCCCTCTAACCCACACAGCCACCGTGGTTTCGAGTGTGAGTGAGTGAGTGAGTTTAGTTTTACGCCACTTTTAGCAATATTCCAGTACTGCCACGGCGGGGGACACCAGAAATGGGCTTCCATGTGGGGAATCGAACCCGGGTATTCTGCGTGACGAGCGAACGCTTTAACCACCGCCCCTCCGCAGCTTGGACAAAAAGAGATGTCTGACAACGGGTAGTCTCCATCACGTACGTTCTGTACCCTTCTAATCAGTGAAATTGGCAGGGCTTCCATGGCCAGACGTTATAAACATACTCGGGTACTGTGGGTTTGAATCCCAGATGCAACTGGGAAGTACTGGGAAAGTATAACCCCAAACATAAAAATGTTACATCTGACACATTTCTAAAGGCCATTGTGTGTTCAATGTGATATTTGTCAGCTTATGTAGACGCTGGTTATGTTTATGATGCCTTTCATTAAACAAGAGCCAGTCCATTTCACAAACACAATGCTAATTACACACTCTATTATGCTACGTTGAGGGTATGAATCGTGCTACATTGAATCCTGGAATGTTAGCACCCTACCGAGCTGGTTTGTTTCACCAAAGTGCTTCATGACTTCAGACTTTCACCGCTTTGGACTCTATGGCATTAAGCAAACACAATGTGAAATAGCTTAAGTACTGTTCTGACAGCGTTTCGCCCAAAGCATTCAAGTAACATGACATCAGTGGACGTCCTTCCATACTGTGTCCCTAATGACTGACCCCTCCACGCAGTGTATGGTACAGGTGTGTCCCTCGGTGTGACCAGAGCACTGTGGCTGAGCATGTTGCAGAAGGAAAGGGGGGCACGTTGTGGAACAGTTCTGGGCCATGCAGCTTCCTGATCGCGGACTGTACACTTCCTGCCGGCCACATGTCGCTATCGTGACAGGGTCCAAGAGCAAGGACGATCGTAGCTTCACAGCACGGAAACTGATTCTGTAGAAGTTAAAGCTCAGCCGAATACCTGCAAGAAAATCACACATGAACACATCTGACAGCGACATATAATTCGGAGGCACTGCGTTATACTAGATCAATTGCATTACTTGTTGTACAAACGTCTGAAATATAGTACCCAAAGGGATTTAAAGCAAATGAAATTAAACAATAAAAACATTTTTAGTGAGAGTGAGTTTAGTTTTACGCCCCTTTTAACAATATTACAGCAACATCACGACGGGGGAAACCAGAAATGGGCATCACATATTGTCCCCAAGTGGGGAATAGAACCCGGGGCTTTGGCGTGACGAGCGAACGCTTTAACCACTAGGCTACCCCACCTCCCCAAACTCACAACTCTTTGAAAAAGAAACATGAACATGAGCCTATGGCAAAGTTTCGTCATATTACATGATGAATGTTTTCTCTAAACTGGTCTTAGCACGTCGTCCCTGGAGAATCATATATCCATCACATGTACTTAACGAGATCTGACAAGTCGAATGTATGACTGTCCTTAGAAGTTGATAGCTATTGTTGCACTTAAATGAGTACCTTTTTTGTATTTCAATAAGGTAACAAGATTGTGATCAATGCAAAAAGGGTCCTACCCAAATACATACACATTGCATTCGACGAGGGTTCAAGAAGAAAAAAGGTCTACATCCCAACATTTACGTAATTTTACCACTAATGAGTCGAACTGATATCACCACCGTCCTAAACAACTCCACCACTGCTATTAGTCCTCAAGGTAGGCCAAATAAGATTGCAAATTTTTAAATCAAACATTGACGCTGCTTTTTATTCGTTACTTTCACATTAGTTTGTAGTCCCAGTACAGTACAGTAAGTAGAAACACTCATTTTAATTCGTTACTTATTATAAGGCATTTGGCTTCTAGATGAAGCTCAGTATTTTCAAGGTCAATGCCAAGGTTTCTTTCCGCCGACATTTCGCTGCAGCTGCTTGAAACCATGGGTCTAACTCGGCATCCGTGTGTTCAAAATCCAAACGTCCCTATTTGCCTTCTCGGTCCGCTTCAATAACCTTTACCTTGTTCCAATATTCCTAATATCAGATTATAAGTTGGATCTCATGAAAGACGAAAACGCTATGTAACATAAAAAGTGTGCAGAAACTTCATTATGGCATATTTTCGTCAATAATTGAAAATTAGCAGCAAGAAAGGACCAAAACAATATACCTATGGAGTGAAAGAACGCCTGAGACAGATCATGCATCACGGATATGCTGGTAATAGGTTTGGAGCAATCAAGAGTTGTCGCCCGTGACGAGAGGGAAACTGAATCATTGTTGGACTTGATCAGCTCAATTGTCATATTCTTAGGAGTTGGGTCGTGATCGGACCTGCCGTCAGAGCCTATGTACACCAACACCTCAGTAGCCACGACAGGTTCCAGGAAATACAGCTGAATAACAAACACATGTTGCACGTACAGAAATTGGCATGGTGTATGTAATATCATATTTCAGTTGTCAATCAAAAACAGTTTAGATAATAGGTTGAAGAAGATAACCCTTCATTACATTATGTTTGTTAAGCATGGTTCGTTTTCACGTAACAGGAACATTTGGTGCATGTACCTCGATCCAGAAGTTTCCATTGTAGGAGTGACTACCACAAGGAAACCAGGACTGACCCGGTTCAAAGTCCATCCCACATACCTGAAAAGACAAGTTCATTATGTAGGCGGGAGTTAGATCAAGGCATAAAAAATATATTTGTAAAACAGTGACTTGCCGCACTTAGCAATATTCCAGCATTATAAGGGTGGTCTGTAAATGATCCTGTTTGGACCAGACCATCCAATGATTGACATCATGAGCATCGATCTTCGCAATTGGGATACGATGGCATGCATTATGCATGTCAGCGAAGCTTACTACTCCATCTCCTTTAGACCCCCTTTACGATACTCATAGGTATATTGCTATTGGCGAATTATATCCGATATCTTTAGCTTGTAGGTGTGAAGACCCACAGGGTCAGGACGAAACACAATTAACTGTGTTCAGCTTCAAAATCTAAACCGCAAATGGTTAAAAAACCCTGAACTTTCCAACTTTTCAAAGAGACGTTGCCTAGTTTCTATTTATAGAACATTGCACGAGGTTTACTAATAGCGCACACTGGATTTATCCGGCGGCCCAGTTACAACTGTCTCTGGACACATGGGTAGCTGGAACAGCGGGTTGGCCACCGCTACACGCGCCCACTGGTCCCTGTAGCCAGGAGGAGTGTAGAAGCCACAGTCGGACACACTGGAGGCCACCTCGAAGTCCTCACACACACCGTCACCTTCATGCCGGTAACACAAGCTGGGGGAACCTGGCAGAAAACATACATGGTTGGCCTTGAAAACACACAACATGGTAGCAAACATGAATGCATATCTACTCTAATATGCGCATCCTCAGGAGCACAAATCAAGTTATCCCTTAATGATTTATCTTAAAGGTAATTTGTTCCACGTTCTATGTAATAATTATGAAAGTTGAATGAGTTTATTTAATAATAGTAATAATGTGTCCATTTATGTAGCGCCAAACTCCACACTAGGTATGCTCATATCGCTAACAATCAAGCACAGCACATTATTACCCCGGATAACCCAAGCTGCCTGTTAGGCGCTAGAAGGTTATAGTCATATGACTTTTTTTTATTTGTAATGTTGCTACTGGATGTGTAATGACTAATTGTACACAGTGTATATGTAATCATTTGTCTAAACACATGATTCAATCAATATAAAGAAGAATCCAAAAACAGTGAAAAGATCTACACCTCGTGTTCAGCGTTAAAACAAACGTAATTTACATACTTTACTGGCAGTTAATGTAAAGGTGAAAACAATACAAGTGTATGCAACAGAAATCAGGTGCAAATAATGACATTTCACCAAAACGAATACCGAATATATACATTTATGTACATCTTTACCTTTGCAATGAAAAAACTCCTCAATTTTACAATCGACATTACATCCATCCCCGTCCATAGCATTATTATCGTCACACTCCTCTTGACTCTGGCTGAAATAAACGACAGAAGGACTCAAGATGGGTCACAGGGAAAACCCAATCATACATACATCCCCTTCTCCGAAATCACTGTTTTATAACTGTCTTGTCATGTCATACTGAAACAATTAATCAACGTTCTCGACTCTTTGTTCACGATGTTATAAATAAATGTAAGAAGACAATAAAATGTGTCCAGGGAATCGACATAAGATGATGTACGTTGTAGTTTGACGTCTTGATTGTTTTCTCATGACTTTACAGAGAGACATTGGATATCCTTGAAAGAAGTTCCTAGTTATTTACACAAAGATGTTCCTGTTTAAGGAACCGTGTTACGGCTATTTGTTTTGGTGCATTTGTTCGTGATATTTGAAGATACTACAAATAGAAGCTGATATTGCAACATAATGGTCTTTAAATGTAAGGAACTAACAAGAATTTTCACTTTACTGTTTTGATGTTATCTATAAAGTTCATGATAATTACTTTCTTTGAAATATGTTTGAACACATGTAATGCACATATTAAGTTGCTTTAGTTATCATGAAATGTCAAAAGGACAATACAAAAACCAAATGGCCCTAACATTCTTCCGTAGCTGTTGGATCGCATAATAACGAAAAGTAATAATGTTGACTCAGAAGAATGACCACCTCTCTAAATGCCCATCGCCGCAGTAGTGCTGCCCGTGTGTATAGATGAGAGGTGGAGACAAGGCGCTGGATGCTGCACCCACCACCAAGGCAACCCAGTACGTGTAGGTCTTCGACTTCTCAACTTCGCTGGAAGTTATTATCAGGGAAAGAATACACAATATCACGTACAGTTGTAGGTCTCATTGTACCCTTATATCATAGTTGAATGTATATTTTACCACCAGTTACAGGAATATTAAAACTAAATGTGGCATACCTTAACTATAAACTACTAGATGTGCAAAACGAGTTACTCTGAGAAGTTACATTTTCCGTACACGTGATTTCCAACGTGATAATTTCATTATGTTTTGAGTTTCTTCCAGACTATGGTGATGATTTTTAATCAACTTTCAAACTCATATCCTGTCACTTACTCGTTGAACTTACAGATCAGAGAATCTGAGGTCACTTGAGTATCGAAAGTCGCCGTCGGTGAAAGGAGGCGACCTGGTGACCTTGTACTTGATTGCACTGCACGCCGAGCAGTAGTGGTCAGAAGGTTGGGACAGTATCTCTATGGCGTCGATGGCGACGTACGGTGACCTGGTATATATGCGAATCTACAAGTGAATCAGATCATGGTATGTCATTAACCAGATTCATATGTTGGTGTATAGTAAAATACGGATGTGAACTTTTTATAGCTGGATTCGCGTTTCATTAATACCATTCACACAACACTTATTTACTGCGCTTTCAGTGTCAATGTAGTTTTTGCTTGTTTTATAGAGTGAAATGGTCAGCGTCGGCTTGAATTACTTTGGAGACATGGAATGAGTAGAAATGATTATTAGTGGAATTGACTGGATGTTTGGTACCATCAAAAACTTGGTGCTAGTTACCAAAACAGGAACGTCGAAAAAAGGTTCCCATGACATATGGAACTACAGCCAACGTTGTGAGAAACGTTGAATTTGCCGTAAACTCAATAGTGAGCTGCCTCACAACAACCAGGGAGACTGCTCCATATTCACCATCACTGTGTGAATCTTGCGTCATGCGAGACAAATTGAACTTATTTAAGATTTTTGGGAAAACGTAATCTTCACTTTGTCACGTTGTTGTTGATTACTCCTGATTTATCAAGACCAGCGTCAAACGAATGCATTGAGATCAGCGTGGCTCCGCGTTTAGGCGCGATCTCTCGTTTCAACAAAATCCCACTATCTTTTGAGGAATGATACTGATTTTATATAGAAATATGTAATACTTAATTGTTTCATAATTAAAAATAAGCTAATTATTCAAATGATTGGAAGAGGTGATAGTGGAAACCATCGTTGGAAATTTAATTGAAAGAATAATATTTAAATGAAATCTGATAAAATCAGGTGCAAGGTATGATATATCGCAATTAGTTTCAAAACACACACCTTACATCCCTGATACATATGTTTGAACGTGAGATTTTATGATATTTACGATTTTACGAAACTGGCAGTGAATAGTGGTATTGCATACGTCTGAATTTTGCCAGAGCTTGTATTTATACGTTTCGAAAATTAGCTAATTGCGATATTCAAGCTTGTGCAACCAGAGAACCATAATATTTTTGCTGTCCGCATTCCAGACAAAAGAAGCATACTGAAGTTCTGGTTCAATGTTGTTCAGTGGTATACCTGTTACTCAAGATTTGTTTCTGGAGAGAATAATATTTTCTTCTATATACGTAACAGTTAAGAAACAAGTATGATAGGTTCCACAGGCCTAATTCCCAGGAGGTTAACTATTTGATCATCTGTGACTGTGACTAAATAGTTTGGGGATTAACATAAACCATCCTCAACTCAGTTTAAATGTTTATCAGGTGAAGACTTTACTTTATGGAATACGCACAGTCTATCAACACTGTCATAAATATCTGCTATATCGTTAATATTGACCAGAAACGGTAATGGACCAAGCATAGAACCTTGTGGAACACCAGCCGTTAACGTCTGGGCTGTGTAGTACTCTCCATTGACGAAGACCCTTTGCTTCCTTTCTGAAATATAGTCAGATAACCACAAAAGTTTTCCTTGAGTACCATACTTTTGTAATTTGTTAATGTGGCCTGCATACTGACACATTGAAGTCATCTTGAGATTGTTAAAAACAGGGCTGTTCTTATATTATGAGGTGCAGATACCATGATAAAGTTCAAATGATTGATAAACTGTGTTGTGACCCTCTTGGACTGATATTATTTAAATATGTAATTGTTGGAGTCAAAACATGAGGGTCCAGTAAACAGTGATCATTTTAAAAAGTCGCATACGTTCGCTAACTTATTGTACTACATATACAAGAACACAATATTATTTAAAATAAATCCGGTGCAGATAAATTCCGTGATGGATGGAAGGTTAAATCAAACCGAATCGATTGTATTCTGATCGTGTTGCATTTAGATCTTGTTATGTGCTGGTGTTGCATTTTTCTACATATATAACAAAATTAATCTAGTTTACAAAATAGGTTTCTGAACACTGTGGGTCTCAGTTTTATTGTCGGTGCTGTGATCACATGTCTGTCTCAGAAGATTTTCATGAGGACGGTCTACAAACCTATTTAACATATGAATTCTCCAATCATCCAAACTATTCGAAATAAAATTTAGTTAAATTAGCTGTATCCTTGTCGATATCGCGTGCCAATGTTATTACTTATTTACTTTATACTTATTTATTTGCTATTTACTTTATAGTTTACTAGCTTTCTAATATCCACCGTGTTCCGATACAATCTAAATTCAAATATAGATACGAAGAATTTTCTGACTAATTAGAAATTATCTGAAGATGTGCGCCTTGATCTCCTACACATGGTGCTCCATATGCTATTCATGAGACTGGCGTTGTATACGTATACTCTGCTTTGCTAATATATGTTGGCAAAGGTGTACACTGATCAACGATTGCAGGTTCCCATCTCTAGGCATCTATAACCTTTATGTTCTATTCATCATCAGATTTACCTTTCTCAGTTTCCGGTCTCCCGCCAGCCTGGTAGTGAAGGGGATGTTGCAGAACGTATCAACCTCCGTCAGGGTACGTACAGTACGGTCCGTATAGTACAACCGTATCTTGTTCAGTCCCCGATGGGCATTCCATGTCACCCACAATGTCAAGCTATTGTCAGAAGAAATTTGAATGAATTACAGCTTGTTCAGCTTGACCTGAGCTACTCTACATATGCATGATCCAGGAGGTCAAATGGCACAAACGGCAGGTCGAGTTCACCTCATTAAATAGGGTATTAAATATGTAATTTTTGTAGGCATACCGAAGGGCCATTCAGGGGAGGTAACTCTACTTGCCTTATTATGAGTCTTCCACATGCACACTGATTTCTGCATTAACAGCAAAAATATCTATAGAATAACTGGGATCTGAAATGGTTTAACCGGTAAAGACGCGTTGCCATGTCACATATGTCGATTGCCACTGTCCACAAGACGAAAAGACTGACAATTAAGAGAGCAATTACATTTTTCCTGGAGCCTCCGTTTGACCAGAAGTGTACTTGTGATGACGTAACAGACCATTAAAAGAACACAGCTTTTTCCCAGTTGGTGTGTATCTTCAGTTATTTTATTTTTAGGTTTCACTCTATTTCTCGACATGACAGTGGGCGTACATAAGATTTAGTGTTAGTACATGAAAGGGTTGAGGAGACCACGATGGTGCGGTAGTTCTACTACCTTGCCGGTTTGACGGGCCACCTGAGGGAGAGGTCGATATAACACTGTTGATGTTTACAGGTGTTGACATCCGGCATCCACACCCGTGTACTGGCGTCACATGTCACGGCGTCCGGCGGCCCTGCAGATCATCATGCCTCAGTCAGCACCAGAGGTATACTACACACACCACTCAAGATATATAACATTTGACAGTGAAACCTTTTAACCAACAGGTGAGCATTTTATCTGAATAGGTCTCGTAGGACTGAATAGTTGGTCGTATGATGAAAGAATCATTACACGTCAGTGCACAGGGAATGAAACCAACCATATGAGCATTTTTTATCACGTTCTTCAAACATTAGGTCCATTACTTCCTTTTAGGACCGCCTCCGTGGTGTAGTGGTTAGAGTAAAATATGGTACTTGTTAGTCCCTGCCTAGCGCTCGACATTAATGGGTACAACAAGGTCAGTATAATGTGTCTGAGTGGGGTATTCATGCTTCACTGCGACATGGTATCTCAGTGGGCTAGCACTATAAAACCAGCATTAGTCTGGGCTAGTACAAGCAGCCGCACATACACATACACACGCAAGCACGTCGTCATATGAGCGAAACATTCTCAAGCACGACGTTAAACCCAATTTCACCTCACCTCACTTCCTTTTAGCAATAGCTTTTGTTTGTTTGTTCTTTAACGTCACACAGCCATATTCCAGGTATATGACGGCGATCGGTAAACAATCGAGTCTGGAGCTGACAATCCAGTGATCGACATCATGAGCATAAACTGATAGGATACGATGACATGCATTATCCATGTCAGCGAGTCTGACCACCTGACCCCGTTAGGCGCCTTTAACGACAAGCATATGTCTTGAAGACCAATTCTAACCCTGATGTTGTCACTTGTCTTTTAGCTTGAGAAAACTCCATTTGCATTCAAACACATATGGTTGCTATGAATTTCAGAGTTAAGCGATGGTAAGAAGCTTGTACATCCCACGAAAGGATACAACTTACGTTAGCGTATACCTCACCTGTTGCTTCTACAGGTGCCCACTCCCCACTCGCATCTTGGTGATTCGGGGAACTTGCATCATCAGCGTATTGAAACAGGGCGCCATCCTGAGTACACATGCTGCAAATACTATCAGGGTCATCGCTGCTTATACTGAACGGGGAGATCCAGCCAAGCGTCGTTGACGACTCATCTGACGACAGGACCTAGAGTGTTAAATCATTAGCCTATAATAATGTAGGGTTGAATGGAAATCATTAGGCGGAAGTATACCAGGGTAGGCGGAAAGTAATTCCCCATATTGGAAAACAAGTGTTTTAAAGGACGTTTTTCAGAATATATGGAGAAGCTACAGTATCAATTAATAGAGTTTGTGACATGTCATGACTTTCTTCAACTAAACCAGCGGCGCTTGTCACAACGAGCATGTGGTCCTGAAGAGCAATTATAAACCGAATCTTCGAGGGTTACACTTAAAGTGCAGACGTTTTTGTTGCTGCTGTTGTTTCCTCGAATACTTTAAACACCTCAGGTAAACATACCTTGGGTGGCAGAGGTACTGGTGAGGGTATCTTTGCTGTTATCCACGGCTTGTACACCAGGTCAAGATAGCAGTGCATCCGGGCAACCTGGTTCTGACTGAAGTGGTCAGTACAGTTGTCATCTGGAAGAAAAAGAGAGTGCATGATGTTTTAAGCACAAACAGCAAAGTAAATATTACATGAAGGCTGAGCTAAAGAAATTGGCATCCCTGGACAAGCCACGGACGACGTACTCACTGTGTTACCATCCGACCCCTACTTGAATCGCATCGTACGACAAGCATCTTCTGTGTGCTAAGTACTTTTAAGAAATTCAAGCAAGGTATTCAAGCAATAGTTATAAACCGCGTCGAATATCATTTCAGAAGAGTGAGTTGACTTAACGCCGCCTTCAACAATATTCCAGTTATGTCCCGGAGCATCAACTATGAGTGAGTGCGTTTAGTTTTACGCCACTTTTAGCAATATTCCAGCAATATCACAGCGGGGACACCAGAAATGGGCTTCACACATTGTGCCCATGTGGGGAATCGAACCCGGGTCTTCGACGTGACAAGCGAACGCTTTAACCTCTAGGCTACCCCACCACCCATTAACTATGAGGAGAACACCTGAGGTAATGCTGGACGTTCACCGGGACGAACCGAGATTCTAATCCAGAACCATTAGTCACTGGCGTCCACACCTTAGATGACAAGGTCGCCCGTGTCTCCATTTCATAAGAACACAAGCTCTCACGCCCTAACGGTACCTGCATTGCTCATGTAGTTTCTGTATGGTGTGTCTTTGTAGGCGTCAAACAGTCCGCATCTGGAATCAGAAGGGTCGGGGTCGTGGCAGTGCATGTTCTCTGGCGTCGGGGTAGTGTCGGCGCACAAGTCCCCGTGCTCCAGCGAAGGATACGTCTCGGCACATGGGTCATCACACTCCATCTCGGACACCCCGTGGTGCACGTGCCACAGTCCAAGGTTGTGACCAATCTCATGTACAAGACTATTCGTCTGACCAGGACGACGAAACATCTTTGACTGGACAACGATACCACCTACAAAGAGACGATATGAATGGCTTTATCCAATGTTATCAATGCACAGGGGCACATGGCCATACACAACTCCAAAGTCTCTAAAAGAGACCATTTAACAAACGTATGTTTAAAATGTCATTTAAGTATGTAATAGTTAGGCAGTTCTAGATCTCTTCAGTATCTTAAAATGAGATTTCTGTGCACTTTGTAAGACAATTTAGAAACAATGAACCTAAGAGATAGATAGTCTTTACCAATTCTGTAAATTGTGAATATACATGTACAGTCAATCAATTCAGTAATGTTCAATAAACCATCCGCTGGTACTGCAAAGTCGGTGGGTTTGATTTCAGTGACGGCGCTAAAATTACACGAAGCAAGTGTTTTGTTTCAACATCATGTAGAAATCGAATCACTGGATTGTCGGTCCAGACTCGATTAGTTACAGACCGCCGCCATATAGATGAAATATTGCTGAGTGCGGCGGAAAACTAAACTCACTCACTCACTCGTAGAAATCTTAAAAACCTTATCTACTCGATTGCCACGGTGGTACATTCAGGTGTGTTTATAAGGTAACTTTTACAACTCGATTCACATTGAGACAATTGTTAAAGATACAATATGTATTCCTCTGCGACCTCTGTGATCACGAATGACGAATGGCACACGTATGACAAGGGAAGAGTTCCAGCACACCGATCGCGCGTGCAGCAATAATTCTACTGATCTAAAATGACGTGGGGCGGGGGACAAATGAAGACGGGGATAAATTAATACACCCCCTCATGGATTTGTTGTACAGCCCCACTACAGTAAAACATACATCATTGAACGATATTGCTATAACACACTCATTTATATTTGTCAGTTGGTGCCTTCTCAGCGATTGGATTTGCAGTTGTCTTTAATGTTTTAATGAAGTATTCTCTGTTTTCTGATGAGACTGCGTCGGTGTTGGTGTTGGGTTCCACCCACTCAGCTGCAGCTCATCAACAGTCGAGGATTCTCCCCGTGCCCTTTCATCGAGCCAGCTATATACCATTGATTAAGTGGGATCTTTGTCAAGCAGTCACTCCAGTACGCACAGGTCTACTCCCCCGCAACACTTGGCCATCAATGGGAGGAATATTTCTTCCCACCAAGCATTGTTTTATGGTCTTTGTCTGTGTAGAAACCATCGACGGAAACAATATGAATAACTTGTACCATTTGCTGAGCACTGACACAAATGTTCCACTCAGAACTGTTTTCACAGTTTAATAACAACTTTCATTCTTAAGTCTACTGTGCACCATGACACTTCGGGTGCGCTTTGAACATTTTTAAAGTTAGACATGTCATGGGAACGAATACATGGGTGGATAGCCCACAGTAATGCAGGTTGTTATAGAGTATAAATCTGCAATGGGATTTAAACGGTGCTGACAAAACAAGGATCGTTGCCAGAGTGAATCTGGGCATGGAAGACACGATCACTCGGCGTTCGATACTGACGTCGGTCCTCAAGCCCGAAACCGTCTTAAAACCAGACCCACAGTATTTGTTATCTGCTGGTCATTATGGCCGACATCTTTTTCATCCCAAGTAACTAAGAGCATTATTTTCATGTTAACATATAGGGCTTACATATTCTGATCAGCACCCACAATTGTTTATGGTTCTGGGTCCTTAGGGCCTGCAGCTTTTCAGGGTTAAGGGCAAACACTTCGATCACAGGATCCTGTACAGCCAGAATCTGTACAGCCAGTCGTAGCGCTGGGTCAGACGTGCCCCGTAGAGTTATCGAACTGTGGTTTTAGATGCTATTGGCGTTAGTAAAAACTTCGATATCCTCCCATCGGGTGATTTACCTATCGAGACAAACGTGTATCTTTAAGCTGGGTTCAAGAAGTATACGTGTTCCACTTGTCTGTGCTGTGTGTGGTTCTGGCGGTAACTACAACCACCTGTACAGAGCCCGCGCAACCTGTGCCAGATGGATGCTCAGACAGTCACTGAATGGAGATGAACTCACCCAGACAGACACACGTACTTTGGCCGCCGTTAGCATTACACGCCTTGTGGTGTAAACACTGCGTCTAGGGCACACTCCGGGGTCGGGGTTACACACATGGTGTCGGCTGGGGATAGTCATTACAATCAGGTGATGATGGCACACTCCGGGGTCGAGGTTACACACATGGTGTCGAGGGGGCTGAAAATCATTACAATGAGTGCCTCTTCCACACAGCGATCGTAGGGCTGAGACTGTCTAAGTCAATGCTAAAGTGTGTGAGAGTGTGTGAGCATGCTTTTACGGCTCTTTTAGCAATTTTTCAACAATATCGCGGAGGAGGATATCAGAAACCTGCTGCACACACTGTACCCATGTAGAAAATTGAAACCGAGTCTTCCGCGTGACAAGCGAACACTTTAACCACTAGACTATCCGGCCCTACTGTATATTAAAGGATGTAATTACAATCATGTGGTGACGACACAGTCCGGGGTGCGGAGTAAAGCACATGGTGTCTGGGAGGTTGGGACGTTGCAGATGCTTTAAAGTTCCCTCCGTTTTATCAAGATGAATATAAACTGCCGTTGCAAACAGAAGGTGGGTTATATTAGTTATAAGAACTTGTCCCTGCTTCTTTTTACTTTGAGAATAAAATATGTTTAAACTAAACTAACATGCCATTGTGTATCCATAAACTAACAGAGGACTGTTTGTTGTAAAGACACATACTTAGAAAGACACAAAGTAGGGAAACAAAGAAAGCAGTTATATCTCACAAAACAATTAACGCATTTTTCTCAAAGCGACGTGAAACTCTCATGATACACACTATTCCAACCACCTAAATGCCAGTTAAAAACTGTCAAAAATTTAAACTCGGAGACATGTCTCAGGAACCCTGCAGCCCAGTCAGATGTCATATCATAGGTAACATTCCTTACATAATTTTGAAGTTAATTATCCCGCCTTGTCATTCACACAAAGACATGAAAGAAAGCTTTCCTGTTCAATCAGGTCAGGGCCAAAATTCCGTCTCCTCTGTAAACATTTTCAAATCCATCAATGTCGATGATTAGCTTCCTTAATTGTCAATCATGGAGGTTCTGGTGTCATTCAGGCAACATAGGGTAACGTGGGGACTACTGGCGTCATCTGGTATGTATGATGATATATGGTGGGCTGGTTTCATAAAATGCATGTAGCTCTACCTGGAGATGCACCGTGTATCATTTTACAAGTGAGTGAGTGAGTATGGTTTTACAAGCTGTATCATTTAACTGTGCATATAAATTGTGAAAGTTGTTAGCAGCTGTGCCAATATTGTGTATATCTTCCTATCAGGTGACACACAGTTTTACAAAGAGATTATTACACGAGCAAGTGTGCCATACGACTTAAACGAGTGTGAAATTTTGTATTGCCCGAACGAGAGCGAGAGCAATACATAATTCGTATAAGTCTAATAATAATTTCGTATAAGTCATGTGACACTTGCTCGAGTGTAATAATTTCTTTATTACCCATTTTATTCATATACATTTGTGCAGTAAAACACGGTAAGCAAGTGTGACGGCCCTCTTCGTTGACGTCACATTCAATTGCATGATGACGTCACAGGCGACGAAATACAGAAACAATGGTTGCTAGGCAAAGTGATATGTGCACATGTGCATATATGATATATATGATACTGGTTATGTTTCACCATATGGGTATTAATACATTGATGGGTAATGATACATTGCGTTCACAGTCGTATAGTTGTACCATGTGTTTGAAGTCGTATATGATAAATGTGCATTCAGACGTACCATGAGATACATTGTGTATACTGTGGTACCAAGTAATGAATTGTGTATGAAGTCGTACCATGTGATACATTATGAATCCAGTTGTACCACGCGATACATCGTGTATAGTCGTACCATGTGATACGTTTTGCATACCATGTGATACGTTTTGCATACTACGGTACATGTAATACATTGTGTATACATACGTACCATATGATACATTGTTTATAGTTGTACCATGTGATACATGGTGTATAGTTGTACCACGTGATACTTTGTGTATACCGTTGTACCATATGACTTAGTGTATATGCCATGTGACAAATTAGCTGTGGTGTTACATTGTGTGACAATATGTGTATTGAGTTGCTCCATGTGGGACGGGACAATTTGTAAATGGGGGTTGTAATATGTGACATGTTATGTATAACTGGCAGACCTTTAATACTCTATGATGAGTATATCATTTTGTAATTTCACAGGATGGTCGTGATCTACGATCTTGACAACATACATGTATAGTGGCAGAACACATTTGCAGACGCACACAAAAGAGCTGGATGACGAGTCCGTGTTCCAGTAATTTAAACACTTAGTAAAAACATGGATCGAAACGAAAATGAATACCACCCCAGTGAGAACATACCATTAATAATGTTATGGCAACGTGAGATACCATAACATAACTGGCCTTACCTAGCCCCGGCAGCTCCTTGCCCGGAGCATGTGTGTCGGCAGTGACCGCTTTCTTGGAGTCGACGGCAAATCTAGCACAGGTCCAGACTACATCGGCCAGCCACTAGCTGTGTCAGAGGTCGGGGGTCAAAACCATGTCAACAAGACATGATGGTGTGAGTCATATCCAAACAAGGGGAATTTACATCAGATCTTCCAGACATATAAATATGTCTGTAGGATTCTCTTCACACAACAAACGTAATTTTCTCAGCTTTGGAGATTCATCAGTCGTAACTGCATGTGACATTGAGCTATTACTACGCAATTCCCCCAGCACTTCTTTGCATGCTCTGTAAATGAGATATTATTCTATTGCAGTTTCATCGAGGCTGCACGGCTGAGCCTGTTCTGTACGGTCAAAGAAACCAAGGGTAGCAAATTATAGTACTGCAAGAGCCACTATATCCATGTAAACATTTGTGGGGACCTATTGACAGACAATAGAGATGGAATAAATACTTATGAAATAACCAGTGCCCCAAACAAGTTAGGGGATAACATGACCAGATCTGCTCTCCAGAAATCGTTCAGTGATTTACTGGATACGGGTCTCGGATGTGCATAGCAAGTGAACATTCGATGCTTAATGGAATATGTTAAATAAACCCTTTCGTATTTCCCAACTGTGAATGCTTTTAACGTTTCATGTTTCTGAGAGGATTGCAAGTTCTGCCATATTATTACAATGAAATATGGTTCGGAACTAAGGGTCACACCAAAGATCGAAAACAAAATCCATTCGACATTATGTACGCAATTTGTATCTCTTAGTCATAACTGAGGAGGCGTCCATCTGAAATGAAGACTTGGGTTCTGAATAAGGTATCCCCATATGATGTCGTAAACGAACGCCCCCTCCTTCTCTCCCACGACACACTCGTGTTGTAATCGCAGCAAACACTGTCCAACCGTTTGGAGCAGAGTCTGCTGAGACCAAGAATGAATGGGAGTCCCGATGAGATAAAACCAAATAATGACATGACGCCGATAACATTTCCCCTCCCCAATCTTGACTAGAACAACTATCATACCAGTGAGTCATATGAGTCAGCAGAGACACGATTCTTATACAGAAAGACAATGAGTGGGAAGAGTGTGGCCTCTACGTGTGATGGTGTCTCATGGCTTGTACGACAGACCCGTTTCGCGCTTCAGCTGTGTACAGTTGTTACATTTAAACATCACTTAAGATAACAGAAGAGACATTTTCGCTTTAAACTTTGTTATCCAGAACTCAATTACATTCTTTACAAGAGAGCGGAGAAGCAGGCGTAAATTAACATACCATTTGGGAGGTATTTTTTATTAATTCAAAACGTAGCTGAACAGTATTGTATTGTACTTCACGAAACACAACATGCATATGAGTTGTCAGTTCAAGCCTTTCTTTGATACATGCTATTGACGTTTCCAATAATGTTGAAGGTAGGGAGTGCAGCAGAGTCTATCATGGTCCATTTTAACTACTATTTGCAACTTTTGGATTGGACAACACATCATATGCCCTAATACAGTTGATGAGAGTGGTATAGGTGAACAGTCCATCATGTCCCTGGCAGGACCACGGAGCTTACCTTGATGGGTGTACACGTGTGTCTCCCAGGGGAATGTAGCCAACCCGACTAATTTATCCGTGGTGGTGGAGGCTAGAAACACGTTGAGGTGGGAAGTAGCTGGGATCCGTAGTGCATCTTTGTACTCTTCAATACCGAGGAAACCCCTGATAAAAAGCCAAAAGGCAGAAGTAACATCCGCATATGTATAAGTCATTTGCAAGTGAGAACCATTTCTTCAATCATGATACAAAACTGACCATTCTTTCAGTAAGTAATGTATTTTTGTAGATGATAAATGAAACTGATTGTAGAGTGGGGCGTGTTTTATAAGGGAAGGAATTTTCACGGAGGACATTAAATCACTGAGGGAATGTGAGAGACATACTACAAGAGATATAACTCCAGACAGTCATGATGTCATCAACTTTATGTCGGGAAGTACTATTAGAGCCCATCATTCCCACTGACTTGCTTACTTTAAAATAACACAGAGTTATGGGGCCGAAATTGTTCTAAGGTCAATCTACTCAAAATATCGTTTCTACTTTCAGTGGCAGGGAAAATCAACGTTATGTGCTGTGGAAACTATAATGACATCGCATGTCTCGTACGAGCATACCATCCGTGCAGGGAGCACATTTACACGTCAGGGCAAATAGACCAATTTGTATATCGTCAAGTGAGCCCTAACCTGCCCTGTCTTACTTGGCTGCTTAAGATCATATGATCGATTTCCATACAGGCAGAACTCAGCTTCGTAGTAAATGTAAGCGTAAAGAGTCGTTTGTATGACTCAGACACACAACAAGCAGCGACCAGTGATTGTGTGCTACATTAGAATGATTGCAGATTTGAGGTTGTACGTCAGTTTTTGTGTTGGGGATGAGATCAATACAGCTTGTGTACACCTTGTGCTCCACCTCACAAGCAATGACCTTCACCTCCATATCGGGTGCCTTCAGTAGACAATACACTCATCTGAATTGCCAATAGTTTTCTCACTTCATTGGACACGGGGAAGTTGAATTGTTGGCATTTCAAAAGATCAACATTACTCAGTCCCCAAGGAGAGACAGGGAATTGAATTGGATTAGACGCTTTTAGTCAAACACGTCGGTTTTTTCTATGGCCATTTAAGATGTTATAATAGCTCATTGATGAAGTAATGTTATACAAGCGTTGTGATTATGTTAACTGAATGACGTCAGTGTGTGTGAGTGTGTGTGTGTGTGTGTGTGTGTGTGTGTGTGTGTGTGAGTGTGAGTGTGAGTGTGAGTGTGAGTGTGTGTGAGTGTGAGTGTGAGAGTGTGAGTGAGTGAGTGAGTGAGTGAGTGAGTGAGTGAGTGAGTGAGTGAGTGAGTGAGTGAGTGAGTGAGTGAGTGAGTGAGTGAGTGAGTGAGTGAGTGAGTGAGTGAGTGAGTGAGTGAGTGAGTGAGTGTGTGTGTGTGTGTGTGTGTGTGTGTGTGTGTGTGTGTGTGTGTGTGTGTGTGTGTGTGTGTGTGTGTGTGTGTGTGTGTGTGTGTGTGTGTGTGTGTGTGTAACAAATTTATACAGTAGTATTTAGTCGTCCCACCATTGGACAAACGGTATTTATGCTCTTCCCAATAATAATAGTAATAAATAACAATATGTGTATTCATTTAACTGACTATTCAGAAACATTTGGGCACCACACGTATTTCATTTTCGCTTTTTACAGTGCTTCTCTGAAACGTAAGAACCTGTACATTCCATGGCCACTCATCACTCATGTAAGACAATACATTCAGATACTACACACATAAAACCGGCCGTACATATTACATAATGTATACTTAATGAGCATATTCAAAAGTGGTTTCACTATAAGTTGGTACAGCTAGCACTACTATGAATGAAAGTTTTATTTTAGTCTTAACACATTATTGAACTTAGCGGGAATACATGATGGAGGCACACACATGATGGGATAAATGTGTCAGGCAGTATTTGACTGTTGTCAGTCGTATCTCAGTAGGATACTCACCGCCATGGAGATGTATAGTTGTAGCATGTGTAGTGGGTGTCGGGGCCGGGGAGGCAGCAGTCGTTCCAGTCCCAGTCGTGGTACGCCTTGTTACATTCAAAGTCACACTTTCCGTTACCTTTCTTACTCGGGTTGCACTTCACCTTCACAGAATCACAGTCGCCTCCGTCGTAGCCAGTCCTTGGATGTTGGCATTCAGCTTGGCAGTTGCCGTCACCCACGTTTATGGGATCACATGCTATCATTATGAGATGTTTTCGTAATGATGAATTCCTTATATTTTCTATACTCAAGTCAAATGTGATATTGTACTGTTCAAATGCAGTCTTTAATGCTTCATGTTGCACGATGATCTGTTGGTTAGTAACAATAGGATTTGACCCGTCATCATCCATCAAATTAACAACTCTGTACTGGATTACCTTTTCATGGCGCATTTGCCAAGTGTTTGTGTAACTTTGGACTACTTTCGGGTCATCACATACTGTTTCGCCACATGGTGGCACAGACACAGACATGTCATGACTCTGATATGGAATGTTTGAATGGATAATTTCTAGACTATGTCCTGTGATCAATTTCCAGTTTGTAACGTCATTAAAATCATCCCCAAACACTAAACCCTCTGCGTCCTTCAACGCTTTTGTTGCAACGAACATATTTTGTTTAATATTTATATGTTTCAATGGCAACTGCCATAGCCTTAATTCATCGACACTACCTCTAAAGAAATGTCCATTGGAGATGTTTCCTCCCAAATGAATTTCTTTGCACGCAGAAGAGGAGAGGCTGGAAATATTTCCTTTCTGGTCTGGTGCCACTGTGATCCTTGCACTGTTGATATACAAAACCATCATGGTTCCGTCGTATGATGCCACAATGTGGATCCACTTGTTAGGTTCATACTGTTTATGTGTGAAGATGGCGGTTGGTTTTGATGATCTCTGGGTTTGTAATGAAAAAAACATCCGTGAGTCCGCTGCCCCGTCTCCCCTAAATGTCTGGAGTCCGAGAGACCAGTGCCCGGATGTCAAGAATCCGTCGCATGTGTCATAGAGCTCTGCAAAAGATACATAACAAATTCAGAAAGTAAATGGGTAAATGGGTTTTCCCGTTATCATACTATATTTATTTCCTTAATCATTCTTTTTAATCCTCCCACTTTGCCTCACTATTACGATTGTCTTCTCAAACAATCTTGGTGAATATACACCAAATTTAATCTTTTCATTGTGCAGGACTAACCCAAATATCGGATAGAAAATATTTGGTTTATATTATTCTACTTGTCTAATAGCGATTCTGTAAGTCACACTTTAGTATTTTGTTCATCCTTTGGTTCATCGGTATACCACCTCAGCCTAACGAGTGGGTTTTTAACCGTATCATATCACGAGGTGTCAAGCTTCGCGTTGGAAGAAATGGATTCAGGTCAAACCCATTTGGTGAAAGCCATTAGCAGGGATAAGGAGCTGACCAACCAAAAATCAAAGTTTAAACCTAAATCGAATGTGAACTCTAGGTCAGTGAATCTTCGGCCCATGAGTGGATCATCATTGAAAGAGCAGCGATGTCTACTTCTGTGTGAAACATTACTTGTAACATGTGACATGTTTGACATAGGTATCGAAGGAAGATGGACACAACTTATTTACCATGAGAAACACAACGTTTCGGAGCATATACTTTCTCCTTCATCAGGTGATGAAGGATGTAAGTATATATACCAAATGAAAGAGTAAGTATATACTCCAGCGTTGTGTTCCTAATAGTAAACAAGCTGACATCCATAAAACTCTCTTCCATATCTGTATCACTTTAAAATGAGATTCAAAGACCTGATAGGCATCGAAATTAAACAAAAGAAACCAAGTACAACAGTTCTAGAGAAACGTCCACAACAAACGTGATGTTGCAGCGACATCGTTACCCATCTAGCAATAACAGCGTGGTTGTGCAATAGCTGGCGTAAGAGCTAACTAATCTCAGTCTAACATCGATATTACTATTTGTTATTCAAAGAAATAGTATATCAAATTTTAATTTTGATATTTAAGCCAAAAGGAAATCTAAGATATCCTCCTGAAGCTTCAGATTCTTACTTGGGCGGTTTAAAAAGTGAAGTAGTTTTGGTGCACAGAACTGATGAACTAAAAGGTTTTAAGAGTACTGGCCTTGATGTAGCAATGACCTAGCAGAGGCAGAAGTCCTTCCGCTTTACTGATATTGCTGATGCTATCAGTTATCGCTTGTCTTCCCCACATTAAACCATATTTCTAACAACTGCTCGTAACGGGCAGTCGGGTGTCTATTTGAACACGTGTAGCATCTACACATAACAAGCGATCGTTAATCCATTTTCCAGTCGTGTACGTTCACACCTGTATTAATCAACAAATCAGCAGTAATGATCACAGACATGTGAAGTGTGTGAACATACCGATGAATACAAAACACGAACGGATACTCTAAATACAACATCGGGAGAAAATGTGGACAAACACATAAAGAGGTGGTAGGGAGCTGACTTAGTGGAACGTTGACATTATCATCCTCAGCCATAGCCGTGTCAAAGTTTCTTCTGTCAAACACTGCTTTCACATTAAATGGTTTTAATGTGAAATCAAAGAGATTATCAAACTGTCATTCAGGTACGATACCATACAGTGTACCCGTTTTACCCAAGATCTCTGAAAGCTAAAAACGTGTTTTATGGCAAAATAGAACAAAAGGAATGTATTGCTTACAGTGCTTCAGTGAAGCACAATCCTGAAATGTCTTTCAGCACTGGCTTTACAGGTTTACTATGAAGCCCACCAAAGGCGCAAGACAAATTCAAGAACTGGTGTTTATTTCTATACAAGTGTAGGCAGCCAGTGAAAGAAATCCGATGTAACCGCCTTTTACTATAGATTGTCAATGCTAAAACATCTCCTTTTGACGGCACTGAAGGCAGCAAGTGCAGTCGGGGTAGTCCAACAATGGCAAACGTTCTTCTGTTACCGTAAACCTAACAGCTTAACACAGCCTTCCATTTGTATCGTCTCACTACCCACAACTGTACACTGGGGTGGCCGCGCTCACTGGCTGCGTGACGTCATAAGACTCCCGCCCATAGAAAAGCAGTATCTTTACGAATGTTCTGTGGTCGAATATACCTCTTCCATGCTGTTGTGTTCATCTGGCTTTGCGCTACCCGTTCAAGAATGTAAACAGACCACCATGGTGGCTTTTGATTACGGGCCTACGAGAAGAATGTCGCTTTATTTTCCTCGTCGATCTGCGTTGTGCACTGGGAGCTACCACTGCAGATTCATCAGGAAGGCGATGGACTCCCAGCGCGTACCCTTTAGAAGTCCCTTTGATACTGGGATTTGGCACATTATCTAGGAGCACAGACGGTGAAATCTCATTGTCGCGGACAGTAGCCACCCCAGAGCTTGGGCTGGTGCACCTTGCCTTGTTTTGACTGGTGATAAAACGCCACGACCCACACGGCAAGACTGGCATGGCGGAATGTATCGCGTCGTCAGAGCAACAGCTTAGAGGTATAACATACTACTCTGTTATTCACAGATCTAGGTAACATAAATAATTGAGGAAATGTAGAAGGACATTATTTTGTTCATTTTTGTATAATACTTACACTGCAATATCTTAATTTGAACAACTTTTTTTATTGTTTCGTTATAATTGTAAAATAGTGTTACAGTATTATTTTCAAGCTATCCATAGTGCGTTTTGATTAAGAATTAGGTGAAAACCTTCTTACGAAATTTCTTTGAAACGGTTTGAATGGTCGGCATTCCATGATTAGGCACACATAATATCTTGCCTCTGTTTTAATAAATGATATTTTAAAATATTTTCTCTGTCTACTTATCTTTAGAGTAACTAGAGCTATGGAGTATGGTATCATCCAAGTTGGACAAAATACGTTTGTCAAAGGTCTATGTTGCTGTTCTTCACAGTGAGTTACCCAGCAAACAAAATCCACAAGCCAAAGTGCGTTCATTCACAGAAAATATCAAAAAGTGATAAACTCAGTGTAATACTGCTCGACACTGGGTCGCAAAGTGTTTTAAATGTGGTGTTTGTAGTTGCCAACCCCCGTGGACAGAATGCGTCTACAAGGGGATGCTGACTGGATAAGTCGTTTATCATCTGTCATACCCGGGGGGATTACCTCTGCATGGCGCATTCACCTTGGCGGGACACGCTCCAAGAAAGCATTTATCACTTACAGGTAAAGAATAGTCACTAGCGTCGTGGTAGGTCCTTCAACAAATTCAGAGTTACTTCCCTTCATTTGTTTCACGCAAGAACAGAGGGCATGTTTGTGCAAATACACTGTCCTAAACCGTGGAAAGCCGAGATAATACACCCATCTATGTGTGGATGTTGAATACATGTATATCCTATATTAAGTGTCATGAAGTATGAAAAGAGGTCATTCAAACAGATGCTCATAAATCGTTAAGCATGAATTTTAAATACGTGTTTTGTAACAAATGCTAATCATTGAACGTCCGAACCAAAGCTGCCCTACCCGTTTCTTTCTTAAGTGAATGTGTTCAGCCATATATACAAACGTTTTCTTTGGAAAAACGTGTAAGAATGAATGCTTAGTTTCCTAAATCTTCAGAAACAGACACTGACAGGGATATTCTCAGATCAGGTTGGAGTGATACTAGTTCTTAATCTTATGGAATGTTTGACCCAGACAGATTCCCCCGCCGCCGTGAAATGCTTGAATATTGATGACTGTGGTGTTAAAACAACATTCACTCTCTCTCCCATCGCTTGACGTCTGAATCATCTGGACACATTCGCGATGTGACTGAATTATATTGATGACATTTTCTTCTTGTTTGTATATATTACTATCGGCGTTAAAGGAATATATCTCCTGGGCAGTGATAGAATTGAGTGATATGTAAGAGTTGTTACATGTAGGTATAAATATAGCAATCTGTATAAGGGTTGTTTCGTGGCACACATGACTTGAAATTCCTGATGCGCTTTAAAACTAATTTCTTCTCCACAGCAATACATGTGAATCAGATGTTCGAAATTATGGGTTCTGGGTTCGCTGGTGCTATGTACGATCACCGGTGCTTGCGAAACAACATTTGATAGGTCCAGGTAATGCAGCAGAATGATGCTTTACACATATACCATAACAAGAACAGTAAGTATTCCATGTAACGGAATATGAGGAATCATGAGTTTCATCAACAGCTGAAAGGAATTCCAGTTAGGCATTACTGTGGACTATCTAAATAATCCACTCAATGAAGAGACTATAATACTTGAGACTGATTGATCACGCTATAGCTGTGTTCTGCCGGGACAAGGGTTCGTGCTTCCTACCGTCCTCACAGCCGGACGATGCACAGTTACACAACTTCTATCGTGTCATCACGTGTCACGGCCAAGTTTTACTCTGACCCGAAAGAGAAGGCTACTTCACGTCGTCTCGACCGCCAGCCACAAGATAACTTCACAATCTCAGGCAGACACAACCAAATCAATGTGTAAGCAATGCCGCCTTTTGCCGTTGTAATTTTAAGATGGCGACTTCTATCGTCTGGTGACACCACTGGGATTATCTCAATAATATATAGGGACACACTGCTCAGTCTCGTGGGGATAATAAAGCAAGTAAATTGACCAGGTTTCTAAAACTTTTCCTTAATCACTCTCTGGCGGTACTAGTATCGTAATGAAAGTGACCACGTGTTGCAGATCCATAGCTAAGATGATACGTGTATCTTGGCTCGGACACACCACCCTGGGGAGCGTATCTCATCTGACCTGGCTGCATGACTCACCAGCCATCGCTTGACCTAGACACGGGATAGGTCGGCCAACCGACTGACCGTGTCTGGCCGGAGTGGTCAGACGCCGAGAGAGAGATCGCCTCTACTGGACAGCCCAGTATGTCGATAGGTTGTTCATTGCTATTCGACAATGGTTCGTTTGAATTAAGACTGTACAATCTTGCTGCAGAAGAGAAGCTTTGTCATGATTGTTTACGCCATTTACCCACAGAAGCTG